CACCTTATCTCTACGTGATGAGTTACTTGTACAGATAGCAGACATTGGAGATACACTCTCTTGTCGAAACGTCACAGGTCAGCAAACATGCGGCCGAAATACTTATTCATTAAGTACTTAATTACATCCCGTACACAGGCGTGTGTAAATAAAGTGCTTAAACAGAAATAAGAAATACCACGGAATAAGAACAAAGATTTTCACTCAGAAGAGAAGAGAAGAAAGATTGGCGAATGTAGATGAAACGAAATAGAATAGAATACAAATTCTTATAAATATGATTATTATTATATTTATTACAATACAAGTTACTAATAAATGGTTGATGAATTACTAAGACGAAAGAAGCAACAAAATTTTTTAATCAATTATTTTATGCGAATGAAGCACTGGCTGGTGATATTCAAAAACACGTGTAGTAAGGTAAAATTAAAATAAAAAAACGCTAACTTATACTTAACGTTCCAGCGTAAATCTATAATAAAGCTAAAGAGTTTGTTTGTTTGAACGCGCTAATCTCCGGAACTGCTGGTTCAAAATGAACAATTATTTTTTCTGTTTCTTAGTCCATTTATCGAGGAAGGCTATATGCTATAAAACATCACGCTACGATCTGTAATAGTCGAGCAACGGGTGAAACCGCGCGAGAATAGCTAAGTTAATCATAAATATTATGTTTATCTGCGGAGGCTTGTCATTAGCAAATTACCTGATAAAATATTTTTGTTACCTATTCTGTATAAGAAAAGCCTTCTAAAGAAGCATAAAATAATAGACATTTTCCTTGTATGCACTTTTTGCGAAAATCAATGCGTCTTATCTCAACACTTACTCTCAAAAATATTTTGGCCCACGACTCGACCACGTTGAAGGCTGCAATATGTATCCGTGCCCTCAAGCTGTTAAGATTTCCCCACGATCCATCGTATGATATCGAATCCATTATCTGATGCTGCAGTGCAAAATGGCCGATAACTATGTTACACCAATCTTGTAAATATGTACTTTAATAATGACAGTTGCCCGATTGTCTATCTAATATCAAGTTGAATTTGTATTTATCGTCTTATCATTAGGGAGTGTCGAAAGAAGTTATCTTAAAGTAGTAGCTAGGATTTACATATATGTTTCTATAAATGTCTTTGTTACAAAAATATTATTCGAAAAAAATTCCTGTATTTCGCCATGCTTCGGCGCGAATGGGTCGGCTCGACCGGAGTGATACCACGGCCTCATAAGAAATAAACAGCAGAAAACAATTTACTTAAGTATATAAAAACTAGGTTCTGCCAACGGCTTCGCTGGCAAAAGCTTCGCTTCGCTCGAGTTATCTGGATCAAAAGTACCCTATGTATTATTTCAAACTATGTATAACAAAATTAGTCTACATCTTTGCCACTTTTTACGTGGAATAGTAGGATTATTTAAATAGGAACGTATTTATTTGGTAAAAACTTTGTTCCATACAAGGCCAAATCCTGTGTCGTGGATACATTTCCAAACACATAATAATTATGATATTTTATTTTATCAAATGACTTCTCCCGCTTATGTCATATGAGAGGAAGTGTCAGACTCGTTCTGACTACCCCCCGTTCCTTTTTCTGCTCTAGGGCGAGGCCGGCTAAACATTAGACCTGATTACAACCGTCGGTGGTGGTGGACCCGCGTGGTACGCTCAGATAATAATTCTGACATGAACATCGCACGCAGATCCAGACCCCAGACCAACAATATGTAGGTCACTAAATTTGAAGGTCTAATCTAGGATACCAAACAATACATGGTATAAAGAAGACTTAAAATCACTTAAAGTAATTAGTTCTAATAAGCTACTTAATTTAATGATAAAACCAATCGATGTTATCGCAGAAATCACAACGGCAATCGACAAGTAAATACGAGCTGATAACATTTATCTCTTAATGTAAATTTAATTGGATATACAATAAATAATAGGTATGCCGCGCACTACATGCTTGGAAATTAATTAGGTGATAGTTATTTACTTTCTTATTTACATTATCTGTTTTTGATTTTATCAGTATTTGGAACATTATCACCTTACTTAAAAGGACCTTATCCTGACAGTCACAAACACAACAGAAAAAAATTGGCAGTATTGGTCCAGGCAGCTTATTTGGTTACCAACACATAATTTGATTCATTTTTATATGTACGTAAGTTCGGGTTACTTTGACCCTGGGAGGTAACTTTGATCAAAATTTTCGAACCAATGAAAAACGAATATATGTTTGGTTCTCAGTTATTATTGGTTAAAGGGTTTGGATCTATATAATAATGGTTGGAGGGTATATATTAACTATTGCAATTTTAATTCGACTATGAAATGAATCATTGTATCTATGAAACTATCCGCATTCACATATTAATATTTGTTATCTACTAGTTACATAATTCTTGCCAGTAAATCCGGTAGTTATATATTACGAACTTACTATTTGTGTAATTATCACCTCTTTGCTATCAACTACATGGATTTACTACATACTATATAAGTTATAAATGCGCTTTGTGATTGTGACCCCTGCTCTCCGTCGATTATTTGATTATATCCGTATTAAATCTTTCACTGATTCAAAAAAATAAATAAGAATAAATTTACTAGGTATATTCCAGTGGTTTTACAAATAATTTCGCAAATCGGAACTTTTCTACGTTGCTTCCACATAGCTATAACAAGATGCAGCTTAACATTAACTGAAATATTACATTAGAAAATTATTTTCGTGCACCACCTAAGCTGTTTATAAATAGATAGAACTGTAAACATTATCATCATTAGGTACTTTTGCCTTCTTAAATCTGACGCACACTGAATTAAATACATATATTTCTACTCAATTATATTTTATGTAAAAAGGTGTAAATAAGTTACTAGCCACACTTTTTTCATATTTGTCTCTTTTTCACTCGCGATTATTGAATAATGCCATCTCACTTTGACGTCTAAACATACGAATTGTTCATGTGTGCCAGTGTGCATATCAGTGTACCGTTTTACCGTTTTTGAAAATCGAATTTTGTTTGTGTAACCCATTTTACTTATAATATCGTTGTTTCTACTAATATAATATTCCTTCTTGCAACAGACAGAGAAGCTAAGGCCACGGTCGAACATAAATCCTATAAGCAATGACCCTTTAGTATCAGTATTGACTACTGACTACTGATTAGATAGCACACAATAATCCCGTGAAACTGACAGCTTATTGTTACTAAGAAGCTATAGACTGATATCTCCTGACCTTCGAATAGTTCGTTCACTGATATGATATGCAATTATTGTCAGATGAATGTGTATCGCGATTGTGTTAACTTTGTATAACGTAGGATTTAAAAAACTCCAAAAAATGTGCGCAGTTTTTATGGGAAAAGGTTAAAATGCTAATCCATATAAAAAGCAAAAAACTTGCAAGTAAACTGAGTGTGTAACATTCCTATGACACCAAACTAAAGATCTGGTGACCTTGTGTCTACAAGGAACCGATTTCCACCAAACATAGCTGAGACACTATCGACTGATTATTTTTCAAACAAAAAAAACCGCATTGAAATCGCCCTTAAGCCAAGGGCTAAGATGTCACAGATAGACACATCAAACTTATAACACACTGTCGTTTTTGGGTTGGTGGTTAAAAATAAGGTTAAGTAAACCGATGCACGAATGTATTATTTTTAGAAAGTTTCTTTGATAAATAGTCGGTCAAAAAATGTTGACTATGTTCAGTAGTTAGGTAGGTCGCCCGGCCTTAATCGAGGCCATGGTGCAGCGTGAGAGGAACTGGGAAGCTATCTCCTCCTTCTGCGAAGCAGTTATGCTCGCAAAGGAGGAGGCGGAGCGCGTGAGGGAACTATCCTCCTCGCGCCCCAGCCGCCGCAGAAGGCGACATTCCGGACGTCGGGGATCGAGGGATGATCTCCGGCTACCGTAAGCGCGGGTCTGCGGACGGCGAGTAAGGGTAGCTCGCCGCCCGACCAGAACTGGACCCGAGCGTACGGCGCGTAGCGTTCCGCGCGCGCCTCAAAGAGCCAATAGACCACCACAGTCGGGGCCCTAAAGGGCTGATGTTTAGCCGGGGCTGCGGGGTAAGCGCAATGAGGCACCGCGACCTCGGCCCAGAGCAGGAGAAGGAACGGGGGGGTTTTTAGTCAGTAAGAGTCTGACACTCTCTCTCGCCTTACCCTGGGCGGGAGAAGTCATTGGATGATTTTCCCCTGACAAAAAAAAAAAAAATGTAGGTAGGTACATACTTATCAGTAACAATATTACAAACGAACTAACCTAACTAATCTAGACAACAAACAACAATTTGATTATCAAATTGCACTTACGAACTATATTTCTTATAAATTAGGCTTGAGCCTAAAAGAATCTTGACAAAATGTCTTTTCTCTCTCTCCTTATTTAAATCATTATTGTATTAGGTACTTACTTGGCTAATGTCCACGCAATAAGGTAGACGGCCGCAAGGAACCGCTGGATGCAAGCCGATTCTAACCGAAGATTTAATCGAAGTTCGGCCATCTTCTCCTAATGTGTTCTCTATCGCATTCATCACCGGAAGCGTTCTATGGAATTGTTCGGCTTCATCCCCGCGGCATCTTTTCGCCATCGTTCTACGCGAAAGCGTCTTCATACCCATCTCATAAATGGTTGGCAGTCAACAAGTGCGATTAACACAAAAGCTGCCCCACACAGCAAAACTTTGGAATGATCTTCCGGCGGCGGTATTCCCGAACCGATACGACCTTTAAATCTTCAAGACACGATAGTCCTTCTTAAAAGACCGGAAAAGCACCTGTGACTCCTCTGGTGGTGCAGGTGTTGCCGATCACTTACCATCAGGTGATCAGTCTGCTCGCTTGCCTTCTATTCCATAAAAAAATCATTGAGGGGCCTTAGTTAACAATGGACGCCTTGTTGATATCAATAAATATTTTAACTTGACTGACCAGATATTTTTCTTTTGTTTTAGCTGGAGCCTCTACCCTAAGGATACTACTCAGTTTTGCAGTGGGCGGACTATTGGGCGACGTGTTCCTACATCTTCTACCAGAAGCGTGGCAGAATGATTTAAATAATACTAAGCGTGAGTATTTTTTGGCATTTTCTATATTTTTTTAAGTCGTATAGCAGTTTTAAAGCTTTAGGTCACAAATTGGTCGTGTTAGGGCGAAAAATCAGTTTCTACGGATTTTTATGGATTACTGCCAAAGAGAATGTAACTTAAAAATTGTTATTAAAAAAAATGTGAGTTAAATTTATATTTATAATCCCCAAACGTGCATTTAGAGACCCGTTCCTTTTGATAACGTTTTTCGAGTCCAAACGTTCGTTACTTCAATTGATTCAAAGCATACTTTTCAAGAGTTCACTATCAATATCATGTTAGTTGGTCTCGGAAATAATCACAACTTTCGATTATTTACATTCCATTTTCCAGTTTGTTTCTAACTATTTTCATTTCGTAATCAGACTTGGTAAAAAATACCGAACTAATGGTACAATTACATGAAGTGAGCATAGTTTAAACATTACATAATTTGAAACCATTTGAGTTTTTTTTTTGTTTTAAAACCTTCGAGATAAATGCTTACATAAAAAGTTAAGACCATTTTATTAGAACTAGTTTTTATGTCTTAATAAAAAAACAAACTAGCAACTGCTTCCTATTACACAAAACTACTGGTGCTCTTCAAAAGCCAAACAATAGATGTTGTGATACACAATGTCACTTCCTCTACATATAAACAATGCCTTTTGACTTTAAATCTCATTGCTATGCGAAAGGAATTCAATAAATGTAAGTTAAAAAAATATCTAGACTTACTATTTTATCTCTTACTAGTGAATGAATCCTTAGGCCAGTCCCCATACTTGCTCAACCATCCTTTAACAGCTGGGAATGGGGACCAATATGACTATTCCCGAGTTATATGTTTCTACGATTATTTGGACACCAATGATGTGCGTTTAAGTAAAATATCGTGAAGAAACCTGGTGCTTCAAATCACCAATCTACCTTGAGCAAGCGTGGTTTAATGCTCAAACCTTCTCCATGTGAGAGGAGGCCTTCGCTCAGCAGTAGGCACTTATAGGCTTATTAATGATGATGATTTTAATGAACCATTCTCAACACAGGTTAGTCTGAAACCTAAAGTCGATTTCTCCATCATCGAAGATAACTGTTTACTGACATTTTTGTACCTTAAGGACATTGTAAAAGTTGAAAGGTGAAGGCCCATAATGTTTTAAAATTCCAACGCAAATAAAACAGTAGGTAGCAGTTGTATGCAAATAGATAACGCGCGTTAAGTCCATTGTCAATGCTAGCATCACGTATGTAATTATACAGAGCTGAAGGTTTTCCCTGTCGATAAAAAAGTTACATTGACCCTAGAAAAATATTTGTGGCTTAGATTGCCGGCTGCGATTGGCTGTGCAAGCTGCTGTGAAGCGGGTCCGATTTCTGCAAGTTACAACCCTTTATGGGAACCATATATAGCAGAAGAAGGCTGCACATTAAGAACTTTTTAATAATTGTTACAATGATGGCGGTAGTGAGGTCTCCTCTGTCTTCCTTCCACATATATATTAATATTCGCGATCTTGAGGTGTGTGTGAAATTGTATGTTTGTAGTAACCACGACCCAGGAAATATTATTCCTATATAGAATTCGGCGACGTTCCTTTTTTTTAAAGAGATGATTTTTTGTATGTTTAGTGCTATATTTGAATATTTCAACCTTTTTGTAGAACATTGAGATAATTCGCTTCAAAATATAATAGTCTATATTATTAGCTCTATGTTTATTAAAAAGTTAATAGCTACTATCCAGAAGTTCAGAAATCGATGCTTATAAGAGCCCAGATCTAGTATACATACGCATACTCTGATTCTATAAAAAACCACAAAATACACCTAAAACTAAACAATAGATACTGAAACACTAGAAATACTCGGAATACGTTAACAAGTAGGTAAATAACGCAGCAGATCTGATTTCCGCATTTCCCACAATTTTGCTGTCTCGTTGAAACGCCCGCATTGAATGACCGACGCTGTTCAATGTCATTGAAACCGATAACCTATACCTATGGGTTGCATAATAATGCTTTCAATGACACTACACCGACGGCAAAATCTGGAACTAAAATATGTTAAGAAAATGTACTTCAAGCTGATGCTCATTTTCGCTAGTGGCGCCATTCTTTTTTTAAGTATTAGTGCGACAAACGAGTCGCCTTTTGGCAGCCTTCTAGGGGTTTCGGAGACTTAGATATTGGGGAGGGGAAGGATTGAGCCTCCGGTAACCTGACCAACAGTGAAAGACAACGCTATGGTTGTTTCACGCCGGTTGTGAGGCCGTCATATCAATCCGGTCGTGCCGTACGTGTCGAAGCTTGGCTCTCTCACACTTAAACCATTTATACTGCACTGAATGTGAAAAATCCAATCATTTTCCTTATTGTGAGTGTTAATATTGTTTATATATTTATAATTACTCAGTAACTAAGATAACTAACTGGCCTTATTCTAATTGTTTATTTACTATGTTGAGGTTTCGTGCTACTAATCATTATATGCGGTTGTGGTCATTGAAGGAAATGGTTATTTTGAATCAAATTGCTTTTGCATGACGCTTTAATAGTGTAAATACATGAACAGCTGTGTAACTCGTTACCGGGGATGTTGAACCGAGTTAAGCAAAGATTGTCTGCATATTTACGTTGCGTAGATAACTGTGAATGCATGACCTATTTTTAAAAGGAATGCCAGACCATTCCCTTGTTTAAATTGGCATGTAATAGATAGTAATAAAGTTTATTTTTGTTTGTAATTAGTATGAGCAGTAGGACAAAAAATATAATTATTGTAATCACTATACACACACCTTTTTTACGATTACATTATACGATATTTATATAGTATAAAGTAATAATAAAAATGGTGTATTCACAAATATAGAACTTATACTGAACTATATAGGAATAAAACATTCGAATTGTATGTAGGTCATGTGTACCCAAATTTGTTTTAAATATCTCGACTAAGCAGTTCAGTAAGCTGAAATACGACAACACTGAAATTAACACGTAGATTTGTACTTCAGTACATATTATAAAAGAAAGTCGCTTTTTCTGTCCCTATATTCCTAATAATCACTATGTATGCTAAAATCTTTACAGATTTTAATACGGTTTTCTTAAATGGATAGAGTGATTGAAGTGGAAGGTTTGCAATATTATATGTACTAGCTTTTGCCCGCGACTTTGTTCGCGTGAAATAGTGACTTCCTGCAGATTTTTTATTTTTAAAAACTATCCTATGTCCTTTGTCAAGTTCCAAACTATGTATATGTATGTACCAAATTTCACACAAATAGGTTCAGTAGTTTAATCGTTAAGAAAAGACAGACAGACAGAGTTACTTTCGCATTTATAATAATTAACTAATTAGTAGAGATTGCAGGTCAAGGTCAAGCTCATAAAAGAAGTAATATGAATGAAAAGATAAAACGAACATCGATATACGTCGAAAATAACGCAAATTAGTTAAAATAATCAAAGATGTGCAAATTAAACTAAAAATGATTTGTCACTCATCAAGTTATACCTAATCACTTTTATAACGAAGCACTCATTCCGCTAATTTCATATATATAACAATGACAGTCGTCACACGCGCACTCATTTATATACACACACCTACCTACACAAGGTTGAGGTTTTGTGTCAACACACTCATCAATTAACATTACCTACTTTACTTCTATGTAAATAAAGTGCAAAGTCGTTTGTCTTAGATAGAAGTTTTGTGTTCCAAGTTGATTGTGCTAGGCTGGTAGTAAAATGTAAATATAATGAGTCATATGGTCGATCAATCTCGGTAACTATCCGTTGCAAACGTAATTGCTATTTGTATGTTTTATTGTTTATATGTAATCGTATGACGGGACTCAATTTGTTTGAACTCTTGCAGCTTATCACTACGCCGCGTACATTTGAATTTATTTTTTGTCTCTGTCTGTGTCTGGTATGCGCTTAGACTAACACCCGGTTTCCGAAAGCCCGATCAATGTTAAAATCAATTTAATCTCTTGTCAAGTCATCTGATTGGTTGACTGAAGTATCAACAACCAATCGGATGACTTGACAAAAGATTTAACAGGAGATTAGTTAATTTTAGCGTTGACAAGCCTTTCAGAATCCAGGTGTAAGTCTTGGCTTTGATTCTCGCAGCATGATTTGTCTAAAAAGCATTTTTACATGACAACATTATTGAAAAAAATCTAGATGAATCTCTCTTTAATTATAATCTTCAGAACATATAGTTATATGAATCAACTTCGGTTCTTACATCAGACATGACGCGTATTAGGTCAGTATTGTGAAACCACATTTCTGCGTTGTGTAATAATAAAATTGTAACACAATATTTAAAATAACTATAAATTAACACTTGTCTCCAATGCTGAATTAAAACAATGGTTAATAAGAAGTTTAATAATTCATTTGTTTGTTCATGTAATTTTAGTAAACGTCACAAATCGTGTTCAATTGCCAGTTTATTTCACAAAAATTTTACATGTATAACTAAGTCATTTCGGGTATCTATTAACTATTTTAAGTGTGGGAGAGCCAGGTTTCGGCACGACTGGGTCGACTCGACCGGAGTGATACCACGGCCTCTCAGAAAACTGGCCTGAAACAGCGTTGTGTTTGGCTGTATGAGTTAGGTTACTGGAAGCCCAATCTTCCCCTCCCCCAATCCCTCCCCAAAACCTAAATCTCCTAATTCCTAATACCCAAAAAGTTGGCAACGCATTCGTAACTCCTCTGTTGTTTCGGGTGTTAGGGCGGCGCTAATTACTTACTTTTTACACTTACGTTATCACATATAAAAAATGGTTACTGTTATATACTTATTTTAATCAAGATGACAGCCAAACTTGTTTAGTTCTACTAATAAAAATCTTTTTTTATAAGACTCGTAGTTCTGCACGTTACGACTGTTTACTATATTTAACCGGATTAATAATAGAAGCTAGAAAGTTCCATTTTATGTTGTTCAAAAGACTATAAAATTAATTTCCACCAATTTATTGTTACAGCTGGCGAACACGTCTCCCTAAAAAGCGGGCTATGGTGTCTCACGGGCATGCTAGTATTCATCGTAGTCGAAAAACTATTCGCAGCCACGGAAAACGAAGAAGAGGAAGAAAAGAAAGAACAAGAGACTGTCAAACAAAATGGTTCCGCGAAAATAAAGGAGATTGAAATAGAAGAGATTGAGAAACTCTTAAGAGTTGAGAGGAGGCAGAGAGGAAAAAGCATCTGTGATGGTAATGGGACCGTCACCGCCAAGGAACTCTATGACACTTGTGTCTTTAATAATAATACTAAAGGTAAGCACGCGTGCGTTTGTTATTGATTTACTGATCAAGGTTATGGCCAAGACCACTGTATCCATGTTAAAACGGCTTTTTAATAGTCCGCTAGTATTGTTGTATTGTATCATTATTCTTATCAATTAAAAACAGGCGGTATGGGCATTTTTGATAGCTAAGTTATTTAAAAAAGAATTTGCAATGATTTTAGACTCCAAAATTTGTTTAAAAACTCGTGAGTAAAAAACGTTTTAGACTGAAAGTACAGTAAGGAAATAACAGATGTATTAGGACAGTATTTAAAATATGAATAGGTAATGTTACGGTAGTGAGTAGACCAGTCCTTTAAAAATATTTTAATATTTATGGTGTAATGGCTTATTTACATGACACTATTTTTGTGGAAAAACGGAAACTATAATTTTAAAGGCTCGTTTACATACCATACGTATCGGTGCAATGCATGCAAGTCAATAATTGATTTAATTAATTGTATTGTTGCATAGGTACATTGCTATAAATAACCCATACCATACATTGTCATATTTATAATAATACTCCATAATAAACTAATGATACATAATTCATACAACACATACAATATTAATATATTATTATATTTAATAATTTCTATATTTTTTGTCTGAACAAATGTATATATTTAAGAATATAGGTTGGTTCGTAACTGGCTAATGTTTAAGACCTACTACCTATAAAGAATACTTCTAACTACTCTCTATACATAAGCTGTAACCCTTATAATAAACTAGCTTTCGCCCGCGGCTTCGCCAGCGTGGTATGTTGATGAAAAATAGCCTATGTCCTATTCCGGAGTGTATCCTATGCCTTTGCCAAATTTCATCCAGATTCGTCCAGCCGTTTTGGCGTGATTGAGTAACAAACATCCAAACATCGTAACTTTCGCATTAAGCATAGTAAACAAGTAATAAGTATGATGAATAAATATTCAAATCTTAAGAAAAAAATACTAAACAAATGTTATTGTCTCGCTCGGTATAGGTGTATGCTGTAACTCAGTAGTGAACCAGAATGGTGCAGTCCGCTGCAACAGCAAAGGCAATCGCTGGATGGGGCGCTGTCTGCTCCGAGAGGCCAGGGAACAAGCACTCAAAGCCACCAAGGAGAAGACCAACAAGAAGGATGTAAGTCTACTTTTACAATTATGTATTTTTCTGCCTATAATAGTATCCAATATTTGGTAAAGAGGCGGTTTTTCAGCTGTAGCCCCATAGCTTCCAACTTCCAACTCTTATTGAAATTACTTAAACTATACTAGATTTTTTTGTATAAACTATCTTTATCTATGACTTTTGTATGAAATCACAACATATTAAGTCAAATAGCATACATTTATTTGAATGTTAATGAAAGTATGATTATATTTTAATAATTAGTTGTATTGAACAACTATTGAACTACCTCGTTGTACTGGACAGCTAATGTTCATACATAGTTAATTAATGCCACCAGGTGTAGTAGCGACCAAATGCCTTCCCATTACTAAATAATCAAAGAAGAATTGCTTGACAATTGGGTAGTGTCCTCGGTCAAAAATAAATTAATTCGACGTTTTAATACAATAAAATATTGAAAAATAACTATACTTTTATTAATCGATCGATCGATCGATACACTAAGTTTTAGATTTTTTTAGCTCATTATTTAGAAATAAGTAAGCTATTTGACACAAAAGTTTTATGACGTCATACCTCAGTTTTTCATACAAATTTCATAGAAAAGTATCGTTTTTGACATTTGGATAAAAGTATTGAATTTGACTAGTTGGAAACTACCGTATTACCTAGTCAAATTCAATTCTCATTTTGAATTATCAAAAGTTTTGTTTATAATTATTAATTTTCCAAGACATGTGTGATTTTCTTTACTTTATATATATTTTTCTTAATATAATATTATGCTTCTTAAAAATGTGCTGGAAAAATACGAATATAACGCTTATCGAAAATCAATGAAAGAAAGTATGATTAATTTTTTTTATTGCATTGAAAAGTCCGAAATCTTTGATGAATTTTGACGTGCAATTAGCGCGTTGACTGGTCGGTCCTGTCGGACTGGAATGTAAACAAGGATGATATTACTATTATTTTACCTAAATTTTCAGTAATAAGTATGATAAAAAAACATAGTGTCGTCATATGTTGCATTTGTATTCATTTTAAATTCATAGAAAATAATCTATTTCGGCATTTCAATAAAAAAATTAAACTTCCCAATTCTCTACCAATCCATAGCTGTTCTTACTTTATGACTGTACTCCTTTTAGCGTTAATGCAATTTACAAAAGATACGTTCATTTTATTTCGTTAAGGCATTTTCAGCGATGGATGGAACTCTATAATAATCCTGTTTTCTATAACTCTTACTTGTACAATTACAGGTGGCAGGTTACTTGAACCTAATGGCGAACTCGATAGACAACTTCACGCACGGACTGGCGGTGGGCGGGTCCTTCCTCGTCGGGTTCAGAGTCGGCGTACTTACCACATTCGCTATATTAGGTATGTTATGCTATTATTATTATTTATGCCCATGCAATGCAATGAAACCTGGACTTAAAATTTCTAATTATAAGTTTGAAATCGCCAAACCCGCATTGAGCAAGTGTGGTGATTAATGCTCTAACCTTCTCTGTATGAAAAGAGGCCTTTGCTCAGTAGTAGGCACTTATAGTCTGATGATGATGATTATTATTTATGCCATAGGTTGGCCAACGACCAGACTTATTACCTGATGGTAAGCATTTGGAACCGCTCATGAAAAATACTAAAGGAGTTACTGCAACTGCGTTGCCTGTCCCTTGTGGGTTTAATTGTGATTTAAGGATAGGGGATTGAGAATAGGGGGCAGGATTGGTTAGTATTGTTTCACTCCGGTATTCTGAAAGGTCGTGGTGTCGCTCTGGTTGAGCCGGCCCATTCGTGCGGAAGCATGGCTCTCCCACACTTAATAAATAATAAATATTATAATACACTCAATCTTATTCATAGCAAAAGTAAGGAAAGATTAGAAAAGTTTCAGTAGTAGTCCAGTGAAGTCTGAAATTGAACATAACTTACATGATATTACGTTACTGGAGATAAATTATAAAATTAATTACAAAGCCTATCAATCCAAAATCGGAGGCGATATTATACAGAAGTAGCTGTGCTCATTTGGATTCACTATGATAACATTATGTCAGGAGCTTAAACGTAAAAATATCATTTTATTAATAAAATTCACGGAAAAATTCTATGTCGTTATACACACTAATAATATTAAACGCAACGACATTGAACATTTTTGTATTGTAATTATTGTAAGAAAAGTGTGCCATTTTTTTAAACAATATTTTTCAGTTAAAAGTAATAAATAAATCTTATTGTTTTACAGTGCATGAAATACCTCATGAAGTTGGAGACTTCGCGATATTGTTGAAGAGTGGCTTCTCGCGGTGGGAGGCAGCTAAAGCACAGCTGGTAAGTTAACAAAACTGTCTTAAAATCTTTGTATATAATTCGGAACATGTTTTAATTCATAACTATGTATACGTATATATATAAATTGTTGTGTCTGTTCTGTATGGTTTGTGTATGTGAATTTGTATGTTTAAGATAAAATCAAAGTGGGTGGCAACGTTTTGTTTAAAAGATAAAAATACACACACATACATATATATTTATAATTATCTGTCAGTTATTCTGACACTTAATTTCAGACATCGTAAAACAGATCATTATCCACTTAATTTTAGATATCGTTAACAGAATGCATAGAACTCTTCTCCTTCTAAAACTTGAGAACATTCTAGGTTGCGTCTAAAATAAAAATTATAATACAGTAATGTGTATGTCTGTCTACCCGCAGGCTACGGCGGCAGCTGGTCTGATCGGCGCCATGACAGCTGTGATCTTCAGTGGAGCTAGGAACTCTATTGGTAAGACTCATTTAATCATTATTGCTAGTTTAACTTCTACTCACTTGAACCTACAACGATGTTTGCAAATAAAATTGTATCTGTCAGATACACACCCGGTTTCTGAAAGGCTTGTCAACGCTAACATTAACTACCTAATGATCTGTTAAATCTCTTGTCAAGTCATCTGATTGGTTGTTGATAATTCAGTCAACCAATCAGATGACTTGACAAGAGATTAAATTAATTTTAACATTGATCGGCCTTTCGGAAACCGGGTGTAAGAATGAAATCATATGCAGTTTGTAATAGTGTCCATAATTGAGTGATTAAGGTTGACTTTTGAAAGAGCCTGAATAATAATTACAAATAATCTCTATAACATTGCTCAAGATATTTTTTACTCGTCCAAACTAGATTTCCAAAAGTTAGAGTTTAAGAAATCTTAAAACATTTTTTAAGGAATAAAATTTCAATTTAATTTTGTCTAAATAAAATTGCAACTTAATTTTTTTTCTAGATTTTCACATTTTCCACATTTAATTACTTAATCAATTTAATTTGACAATAATCTAGCATCGATTCAAAACAAATGAAATAACTACATTCATAAACTTTTACAGAGGCAAAAACATCCTGGATAGTGCCATTCACAGCGGGCGGTTTCCTCCACATCGCGTTAGTGACGGTGTTGCCAGACTTACTGCGGGAACCTGACAAGATGCAGTCACTCAAACACTTGGGGGCTCTTGTGTCGGGGATTGTTATCATGGCGTTCATGACATACTACTTCGGATAGATAAAGTTTGATAGTACTTGAAAATGTGAGAGGCTTTTGGTAGAAAAAAAAACTACCAAACATGGTAGTTTGTATAGAAATTTGTAGAATGTTACTGTTATTTATTTTTGTTCTTCTATCATAGTATGAGTGAAAGTGGTCTTGGTGTTATTATATCATATTTACGATATTTTTATCTATTTGACACAAATATTATACAGTTACGCATTTGACGTACTGGAACAAGTAGGAAGCTATTAATTCTGCAATTGCTTAAATCATAGTTAGTATCATTCTAACGACTTATTTCAATTTGACCACATTTTAACATCAAACTGATCATTAAAATAAGTTAAACTAAAGACTTTATTATAATAACACCAAGCTCGCTTCACTCTAAATCCATATACAGTACCAGAACGCTCGACCAAAAGCCCTCACAAAGTTGTAAATAATGTCACAGTGGCTATAACTTAGGAATCATATATTTTTATATTCTTAAGATTTAATCAACGTCCGCACGGACTATAAATGAGTATTAATATTTTTGAATTTAACTTAGACTGTGAACTTGTCGAAATTAAGTTTAAAATATACTTTAGGATAAGTTTATAAATACTCTGATAACGTATTTAAGTTATACGTAAAATCCTAATTACATTTTTACTCCTACAACTGGCAACACTTACAGTTTTGCTAGCATCACAAAACTTACAATGTTGCCAGCTCACAAAACTTCAAAATTTTAGTAGGAAATGAAATATTGTCAAGAGTCAATTTTTAAATTTGTTTCGAAACTATGGTTTGTATTCAAATAACAATTATTTGTTTGGTACTTGCTGGCTGATATCAAGTTTACTCCACTAAGTAAATGTACAAATATATATATAAATAGGTTATGTTCCACTTATTAAACCAAATCACACTATGTTATGTAGTTTTAAGTTGTTATTTCTAAGTAATATTTAGTTGTAGGAGATACCCATGTTATATCCCCACGCGATCTCCACTTTTGTCACTTAAATATGAAAAAAGAAAAAATGTAACAAAAAGAACACCATTCAAACCACCATAAAATTTGGAATTAATTTTAATCACAATTTAATCGTTCTAATGATTATTTAAAATGTAAATTATTGTAAATATTACACAGCTAAGGTTTTGTAGATTTCAGAGACTTACATTTTGAAATCACACTGTTTTATTACAAACATACTATGTATCATAGGATAACCTCAAAATAGTTTTCACCAATCCTAAATCATCAATAAAATATTTTGTATTTGCTCCAGAATAAAAAAATAGCATTAACTGAAGCCCTTATTAACTTTTAATAAGTCTAAGGGCTGATTTTTCAATGGTTAGATAAAAGTTACCTGGGGAATAATTATGATGCTGTCGCGCCAGAATGTTTGTATAAGACAGTGACAGCAACAATTTTATTCCTCAGACAACTTTTATCTTACCATTGAAAAATCAGCCCTAAATGGTTGATAGCTTGAAGTAATATAAAACATGTCAAAATATATATAGGTATATTGCCAACTTAAACAGACCTTGTAAAATAATCCATAGCAATATAATTTAGTCCCTTACTAGTTTTAGTACAAACTCCACTGTTATTATTGTGATAGCTTTCTAGTTTCCTTTGTTATATCAACTTTTTTAATTGCAGTTATTTATAAAGATGGTTGATCATGAACTTATAATTTACTAGCAGACGGGCCCCCTCGCTTCACACGTGTCTAATTATCTCGCTAACAATGGTTTTATTATTAACACAGATATGTTATACGCTCACAAAACAAACGAAAAATAGTTCCGCGCCAAGCGTCAGCAAACTACTAGCAAACAAGTTCAAATTGTAGAAAAAGAATAGTATGATAAATCTAACAACAAAAAACGAAACAGCCATTGTTATCAATTACGTACTCAATGTAAACAAACATTATTCTAGCAGAGATTATTCAAGACTAAATGCACTTGCATACAATTGTATCCTTTTCGAGTCTTCAGTTTTGCGCGCTCTTAACATATATGTTAATATATAATATCATTAACGCTCGCTAACAACGAAATTGTCAGTTTTTCCACATTTTCTAATATTTTGTTCTCCTGACAATAAGAAACACAACCAAAAAAGAATTGGCAAAATTGCTCAAGGCGTTGTTGAGTTATACGCTTACCAACATATTTTGCGATTCAGTTTTTATATTATAGATTACAAGTTAAATATATCTTTATATCATTATAATGTCAATTTATTCGTAATGCCGTATTAAATTCTGTTTTATGTTCAAAGGACGAGGAAAATAACTTTCTTAATTCGAGTAGTTCTTGAAATAAATATATTTTAGTTTACTTATTGTAAGTTCATGGTACCCTACATATTCTTGTTATATACTCTGTTTATGTACATATAATAATCGATTCATGAACTGTAATGCATTTTAGTTAGTTTTTAGTAGTTTAACATAGATTGGTAAAATAAAATTAAGGGAAAACAAGTGATAATAATATAAGAAAAGTATCTATGAATTGCTTGAAGTGAAATAGTGACATTTGGTGGTCAAATTTCTAATAAAACTTTACACTTTTCAGTTTTTGACACTTTACATAAGTTTTTCGTACTTCAATCACTGTTAATGCCAATCTATGCACACTTAGATAGTGCTTACTTTACTATACTTATGTAGCGAATGCATTTAAATCAGTCTATTCAAATTAAACTACGTCAATTCTGTAATCATTAAATTAATATACATTTTAGGTGTTTTCTTGTCTTTGTAACTCACAAATTTATTTATATACGTAACATTTGTAATGTTGGAATTGGTCACGAAGCTGCACTAAACTTGTTATGTGGATAATGAAATATAATCGTGTATCTACAATGAGTAGCCATTAAAATATAATGTGATAAATAATGCCATTTACGAGTATTTTTAGTCGTTTGTACGACTTTATTATTAAGAGAAAAAAATGTTAAAAGTCAATAAAAAGTATCAGTCAATGTTTTGTTTCATTTTTGTATACCTTCAAAACAATGAGATATACCACACAATGTTTCTTTACATATTTATTTAAATTATTCTCAAATCTACATTTTTAAATTCACCATAAAAGACAAACAATACATTCATTTTTTTTGCAATCGGTTCGACGAACCTTTAGCAGATAGCTTGAGAGAATTGATAGATATTAAGGTTCATTCTTCCAGTGAAGAATCTGCCTTCTCAATACTCGTATACTTTGTTCTACTCTCTACGCTAACAAAGTCCCAAATGTGGTAGTATAGTAGGCAGTCGGCAGCGTGGTTAGAGCTCCAACGACAGAAACCTCTCAAGGAGAACTGCCTTGTCGAGGCGCCAGTCTCTTGTCGAGGCGTTAGGGAAGAAATCCATTAACCGACACAACTATCGGCCCTATGATATTTGCCGAAACCACACTCCACATGTCGACAACCTCGTGAACAAAATCAAGATACTTTTGTAGTTTATCTTTCTCAGCTTTCAAGAGATTCTCATCATGAGGAATGACAACATCGTTTACTACTATTCGGTCTATAGCCACCATGTGAGGCTTATTGGCTAAAATAGTCCTGTCAGTGATAAAAGACCGATCCCAGTACAATGTGATATGGTCATTTTCTAGAATTGGATCGGGCATATACTTACTTACTTGTAGTTACAGGACCTGAGACTCTACAAACCGTCATTCAAAGCATGTTACTTAATATCTGGATGGAAAAGTGTGGGAGAGCCATGCTTCAGCACGAATGGGTCGGCTCGACCTGAGTGATACCACGGCCTCACAGAAAACCGGCGTCAAGCAACACTTATATCGTGACTCGTGAGCGTTTGTTTAAACCGCTCCTAACTAGGTCGATGAGACAGGCGGCTCTGACTAATGCAGAGCATATGCTGACTAGAAACAAATCCGTTCGTTTTCGGAACCGACGCCCCGTTACCTTATTGCGCTCGCCCCGCAACCCTGGCTGAAAATCAACCTCGGTGGGCCCCATCTCCGAAGTCCGAAGCGTTTCCTACAACAGCGGCTGGGGCGTGAGGAGGATACATCGTTTCCCTAGACGCATCGAGTTATTTTTCCGAGCATCACTTCTAAACAGAAAGAGGAGACGGATTCCCAGTTCCTCTCGCTCCGCACCATGACCTCGACTGAGGCCGGGGGCGAGAGGAAACGGCGGTGTTCGAGTAGCTCCTTAGTTTCAAGGGACCCTACATTCAATATGAGAATAAGACATGGAGTTCTTAGATAATAATTTGTAAAAAAAAATTCTAAAAAAATCCTAGCAAGATCGATTAATTTTTCCCCTGGAAAGTACCAGTATACAGTTTTATGAAAATCGTCTAAGCTGTTTTCGAGATTAAGATTATTTATATTTAATGATATAAATGTCTTTAATTTTTTAATTATAATATGTCGTTGTGGCCCGGAGGTTATGGAGCCCTCCTCATGCATGACGGTGTGGGTTCGAAACCTGGCAAGTACCAATGTGACTTATTCAGAGTTATATGTACTTTCTATGATTATTTAGATACAACTGACATACGGTGAAGGTAAACATCGTGAGGAAATCTAGTTTGAAATCGCCAACCCGCATAGAGCAAGCGTGGTGATTAATGCTCTAACCTTCTCCCCATGAGAAGAGATCTTTGCTCAGCAGTGGTCACTTATAGGCTGATGTTGATTTAATTATATATAAGATTTAATTGGGTAAACTTAGGTAAGTGATGCAAGATTAGGATCTAACTCAAAACATCACGGTCAGCAAACTCACTTTTAAATAATATTAAGAACAATTAATTGCTTAGGGAACAGAAAACACAAAGGGAATAGAAACACATATTTAGATTTTAATTTATTGCTCACGTAACAAAGTATATGGTACAATGAGTCTATAATATAATTTTACTTGCTAATTATACCTAACAGTTCGCTTTCATAACCAAAGTCTAGCAGTTCGAACAAATAGAAAATCACGATATCGAGGTACAAATTGTATGAAATACACTAAACTTTTATAAAATGGACAGATTCGTAATTACTTTTGTATTAATAAATAAGCAAAAAGCAACTAAAACTGTATTTTAATAATGGCTGAATTAAAACGTGATCTTAGTCCAAGAATACTTGTGAAATAAAATGGCACTGTAAAATGTTAAAAACTCGATATTTACAATAAAATTTACACAGGAAGAAAGTTTTGCAACAATTATTTTCATTTAGGTGTGTTTATATACTATACAAGTATTATTATATAATGGTAAAACAATTTGAAAAGACAAAACTTGTTTTTCATCTTGAATAACATACATTAGATATTGTTAATTTTTTTATTGGATTTATCATTTTGAAATTACGAACACTTTCAAATCATCTTATAATATAAAACTACATTAGAACGGTACCCCTTATTGCATCTTATTACAAAACTTAAGAGATTCGATAGGCCTTTTACATTTACAGATTTTTTCTTGATTTCAAAATATGTATAAGGTTTTATAGTGAGTTAAAAAATATCAAATTATAAATTTATTTTTGTAAGACACATTAGAATTTGAGACAAACGTGTAAACAGTCAAAGGTTATAAATAAAATAACATTCTTTGAACTCAAAAGCAGTTATATGTATTTAAAGATTTCAGCGAATCTATTGTGTAGCATCCTGTTTACATTTTTTTATTTAGTAAAATAATACTAAACAGAAATAATAAAGGAGGCATATCATGTCAGCTTCCATATTTTAGTCACACAAGCAAAACAATTTTTTGATATATAAAATTCGGAAAAAAACATTTTAGATACTTTTTTATCTTCATTACAGGAGTAATTTTTTGTCATTTCACAAATAAATATAGTCCAAATGAGTATTAACTTTATATTAATATTAAAAAAGAACTTAGTTATAACAAAAAACCATATAGTACGCCAATAAATTTGTGAGATATTAAACTATATTATTAATACAAGTCAAGATCGCGATAAATGCTGGTAGGTACCATATTTATGTGGATATATGTACATAGTACAATACTAGGTCTTATATGTATTACATAACATATACTTTCTCAACGCGTTTCATACAGAACACCTCTTTGGTTTTCGGGCAGATGATGGAACCGTGCTCCTTCATCATTTCTTTAAGAGCCTGGAAATTAGAAATTATGTGTTAGGATGATGATGATAATGATGATTTATCGTAGTAGTATTTTTTCTGTACACACGAACTTCAACAACTTTGAAAGCGTCTTATGAGTACGTTTGACTTTTGTATGAAAAATAGGTTTGCGAGCCAATAAAATCTGAGGTTTTATTGGCTCTGGTATTTTTTTTTTTTTGACTGAGAAAAAAAAACTCGATTTAAAAGACTGGGTGTAGACTGAATTTACTAGATGGTAATGGCTACGTAAGCACAAGGGAACGAGTTAGCAATAAAACGACGATGTGAATAAAAAAAACTGACGTTACCCGAGGCAATCTTTTCCCTTTTTTTGTGTTGGAAAATCGTTATGGAGACCCACCACCCTCGGGGAAGGGCGCCCAATCTCTTCCTTTCCCTATTTCTCCTAAAACTCTTATCACCAAAAGGCCAGTAAGGTACTTATTCGTAACTGTTTTGGTATTGTAGGTATACATTGGCAGCGTCGATTGCTTACCATTAGATAATATGTCTGTTACTTTATCCACCAATGACATAAAAAACACTTGTGTTTCCTAAAAAATTTTGCTTTTCTTGTTTGAACATTGTTTAACTGCATAGTTGGAGAGCAGTGTCTGGGCAAGTTTGTCGCAGATTCGATTCTTCTCGAAAACTTTTTGTGTGATCCATAAATTGTTGTTCCGAGTCTTTACAATGTGTCATTTAAATAGATTCAGTAAGTACAAATGTTTACTCTTTGTAGTAAAGTACAGGATCGTACCTTCTCTCCGTAGACCTGTCCGTTGGGCAGCACCATGGGATGGTTGTGCTCGTTGAGGGGCGCCCTGGAGATGCGGCAGAGCAGACGCGAGTGGGAGACGTGGGCGTGGGGCAGCGTGGCGGCGAGCGCGTTGAGGGGCGGCTGGCAGGCGGGGCAGGCGGAGACGCGCGTGGCGTCGCTGTAGCACTGCGGCGTGTTGAGCGCGGCCAGCCCCAGCTGCAGCGCGGCGGGCAGCGCCGCCAGCCGCGCCGGGTGCAGCAGGCGCGAGTGCTCCCAGCGGAACTGCTGCACCAGCGCCGCCCACCGCGACTGCTGCAGCAGGCTGCGGTACGGCTCCACCTCTGGGTGCCACACGGTTACATTCACAATGACATTGCATTTTATTCTATTACAACATGAAAACAAACAATATTAACAGCTAACATAAACACTAAATTACGCAATTAGTAGCTTTCTGTCTGTCTTTCTTCTTAATCAATATAATAATATCTTCATCACATATTCAAAAAAAAAAAACAAATTGAGAAAACGAATATTGCATTCTTATAAAAATGAATTACTGTTTGTTAGTGTAGCTTAAACTTGAAAACAGATGGTCCGATTTTAATAATTATGGTCTTGAAACTTTTACAGAAAAAACAAAAGTCCATAAAAAAGCACTCGAATAAATAATATTAAGGAGATTAAAAACAGTTACTGCATTATTATTACGTTTCAACACTTTTTGAAGCAAAGTTTCTTTTGCTATGTACACTTCAACAGCAGGCATATTATAAAGACAGTTCACGTGGAAACTGTTCAATAACTTGACAAACACATACCTGTGTCCTTAGGGAAGGCGAGCATGCCCATGCAATGCTGTATATCCTTGAGCTGGTCCTCTTCAAAAGTAGAGAAGTGCTTCTTCGCGTATTTGACAGCTTCCAAGCGTTTGTCCTCACGAACTAACTCAATGAACTCCTGCAAAACGTTACAATGAATGATTAGAATATATATATATACATATGTCCCTGCTGAGCAAAGGCCTCTTCTCACACGGAGAAGGTTTATGCATTTATCACCACGCTTGCTTAAGGCGAATTGGCGATTTCAAATTTTTATTTGGAAATTATAAGTCCAGGTTTCCTCACGGTGTTTCCTTCACCGTATATCAGTGGTATCTAAATAATCATAGAAAGTAGGTACATATACATTAATACTTGCCAGGTTTCGAACCCTCATGCATGAGAAGCGGGCTCCTTAGCCTTCGGGCCACCACGACATTTTTTTAACAAAATGCTTCTTATTGGAAATGATTTAAGATTTCTTAAGGCCTAGTTAACAATACCTGTATCCGTATTTTGAACTCCATATTAGAGTTGAGTTTCCTCAGTTTGGATTTGTTGTCTGCGCACCACTGCAGGCAGCGAGCGGTGCGCTGGGAGTTCAGTTCCGCCTCCACTTCAGCGGCTACTGTGTATATATCTGCAATGAGAACGGGGCATTTATTATTGAATTATTTTGGAGTGTGATTATGGGACTTTTCTGAGTACACTTTTAGGTTATTTAGACGAGTATGACGAGTGGGTTAGCTCGACCGGAGTCATAGAAAACCTGCGTTAAACAACACTTACGTTGTGTTGCGCCGTGTGAGTATCGAAGACCTAATCCTTTCTCCCCCTCCTTATCCTGGATCCGTAGATCCCCTAATCTTAAATCTCTAATAACCCACAAGAGACTGTACTGGGTTTTGGAGATTTAGGGATTGGGAGGGATCGAGATCGAGGGGATCTCACTCACATTCTCACTCACACGGCGAAACACAACGCTGTGGTTGTTTCACGTCGGTATTCTGTGAGGCCGTGGCATCACTCCGGTCGAGCCAACCCATTCGTGCCGTCCGTGCTTGGCTCACTATATATACTATCACTTATTTGCCATACTTTAAGTGTGGGAACACTTAAAGTATGGCAAATAAGCTCAATCGTTCCCCTCCCTCAAAACTCCAAATCTCTAATTTGGAGTTTTGGGATTTGGGAGTCCCCAAAAGATTGGCAACGCATTCGAAACTCCTTCGTTGTTGGGCGGCGCTCATTGCTTACCATCAGGTAATCTGTTGGCTCGTTTGACGTCATATCAAATAAAAAGAAATAAAGCTTAATATGGGATGGTCCGTCTACTCTTTATATACAGAAAAATAAAGAAAATAGTGTTATTTAAAATAACTTACCAACATTAGTGAGCTCCCTCAGTCCTCTGGCGTCGGCGAGCTTGTTAGCTGAGTCGTAGTACCCGTTGCGGAGGAAATACTCGACGAGCATTCTGTCGAGCCGCACCTTCCTCCACTGGTTCAAGCTAGTCTGCGATAGATTTAAGATACCAAATCTTAATCTATAATATAAATATTCTACACCAAGAATAATACACTAATACACAAATAAATCTTCTACACCAAGTAGAATACAGTTATCAATTCTGCCAATTTAATTTCTAAATCTTCTTCGATCATTATTAACTTTCAACAACAATGTCTTATTTTTAAATAAAAATCTGTTTAAAAATAAGACCATCAGCCGAAAGACGTCCACTGGGAGAAATGGGAAAAAGCTTAGCATAGCTTTGATTTTTTTAGCAAGAATGGGTCAGCTCAACTGGGTTGATACCACGGCCTCACAGAAAATCAGCGTTGATACACCAGCAGCATTGTGTTTCGCCATGTGAGTGAGGCCAAATCCTTCCCCTTCCCCAAACCCTAACGAATCCCTGCCTGCTTGCTTACCATTTGGTAAATATCAATTACCGCCATATCACAAAACAACAAAACCTTCTGAACAAAGGCCTCCCCTTAGTCCTCCACGTCAAACGACATCCCGCTATTTGCTACCATAAAAAACCATGCTAAAATATAAACTACATATATGCTGCATGCTAAATATAAGTTCCGAAGCATGGCTCTCCCACACGGAGAGCCATGCTTCGGAACGAATGGGTCGGCTCGACCGGAGTGATGCCACGGCCTCACAGAAAACCGGCGTGAAACAACCACAGCGTTGTGTTTCGCCGTGTGAGTGAGGTTACCGGAGGCCCAATCTTTCCCCTCCCCCGATCCCGCCCCAATCCCTTTATCTCCAAAACACTAATCCCTAAGAGGTCGGCAACGCACTCGTAACTCCTCCGTTGCGGGTCTCCATGGGCGGTGCTAATTGCTTACCATCAGGTAATCCGTCTGCGCGTTTGCCGGTCTATTATATAAAAAAAAAATCACTAACAAAAAAGGCATACCTTGACTTGTGGAGTACTAGGTTCAGCCAGTGCGGCTGCTTGTTCCTTCAAGTGCTCCAACCTCTTTTTACACACGTAAGCGGCTTGCATCTCCTCCGCGATAGCTTCAGATGCCTTACGTTTCATTGTTGTTAGTTTCTCAACCTGATAATAATAAAGACATTGATAATTTTATTATATATTATACTAGTGTCCCGGCCCGGCATCACACGGATGCAATGCTAATACAAAATTCTTCCAATATTTAATGAATGTTATATATACATATCCTAAACCTTCCTCTTTAATAAATCTAATAAAAAAACAAAGTACCAAAAACAAACAAACTATTTAAGTGTGGGAGACGAATGGGTCGGCTCGACCGGAGTGACACAACGGCCTCACAGAAAACCAGCGTGAAAAAACCACAGCGTTGTGTTTCGCCGTGTGGGTGAGGATAGTGACGGGCCAATCCTTCCCCTGCCCCGATCCCTCCCCAATCCCTAATCCCTAAAAGGTCGGCAACGCACTCGTAACTCCTCCGTAGTTGTGGATGACCATGGGCGGCGCTGATTGCTTACCATTAGATAATCCATCGGCTCGTTAACCGACCTATTACATAAAAAAGCATACATAAGGATATATAGGGACAGAGAAAGCATTATATTTTTATACTATGAAGTGATTTTTAAAATCTTTTTCTTGTGCTTTCAATTTGTAAGTTACAAAACTTACAAATTCACCTACAAATAACTATTAATAAACAATAGTAAAAGAATGAATGGACTACACAAAGTTGCCCGACCACTGCACCAAACAAACAGTAATACAAGTCAGTTAGCTTTGTGCTACTAGCAACAAAAATTACAAAGAGTAATCATCATTATGTCTAATACATGAGGGTGTGGGTTCAAACCTGGCAAGTACCAATGGGACTTTTCCGAGTTATATCTACTTTCTATTATTATTTAGACACTACTGACATACGGTGAAGGTAAACATCGTGAGGAAACCTGGATTTATAATTGCCAATTATAAGTTTAAAATTGCCAACCCGCATTGAGCAAATGTGGTGATTAATGCTCAAACCTTCTCTGTGTGAGAAGAGGCCTTTGTTCAACAGTGGGCACTTATGGGCTGATTATGATGATGATGAACCAAATGCTTAAATCCTACACATATTATAAAAATGAAAGTATGTGATGTATGAATGTATTTTTATTATTCCTTCAGGCAAAAACCGATATCTGATTTTGTTAAGATTTGGTGTGTAGGTAGGTAGAAACCCTTTATTAACACAATATAGAATTTGGCTTTTACTAACATAACATGCGGGCGGAAGCTAGTATTATATAATTTAGTGTAACAATAGCTAATGTGACTATACTGTACATTTCAAATCAAATCAAATCAATCAATTATTATATATAACAAAATATTATATAACAAAATTATGACTATACAACTTGTATACAAATACACCTTATGCACTAAGAATATTCATTTACATCTTACCATGCCACCAAGAAGAGTATCAATCTCTCCAGAAGTCACTCCTTGCTTTTTAGTGGCAGTGTCCACTTCTGTGGCTATACTCCCAACCTGACGAGCTTCCACATCAAATACACGCTGGGCATTACGATAGCGTTTGTTGAACACTTCGTACGGTACCTAAAATGTAAGCAAATAGTAACTGTAATATGGAAACTCAACCTTTTTATTCCCCACAAAATGGTTGGGTTGAGCAGTGTTGATGTGCATGTGACATTTATGAATGGGTCCTTCAAGTTTGTTTCTTATTCTTTAGCTTCATATTCATGTTACACTGTTCACACATTATAGAACCAACAAACTAATAATGTATTTTAACTAGTGCTTTTCTTGTATAATAACTGGAGGGAGGAGGAGGCCCAATCCTTCCCCTCCCTGGACCCTTCCCCAATCCCTACATCTCCAAATCCCTAAAAGGTCGGCAACGCACTCGTAACTCCTCTCTCTCTCTCTCTCTCCTGATTGCTTACCATCAGGTAATCTATCTGCTTGTTTGCCGACTGTATACATAAAAAAAAGTAAAATGTAAAGTAATTTGATTGTAAAACTGAATAAAAAACAAAATCCATGGTGTTTCTTGCACATTCTTCTACATAGAAATCTACACTTTGGAACACACACTGCTTGATGTTCAAAAGTGCCTATAATTAAAATAGACGATTTGACGTAAACCTTGTTAAAGAATAATGTTTAATTTTATTTATTTGATAACATTAAAATTATTATCGTATGTAATTGTGATCTCCAGTACTTAGTTTAACTTTACGATTTCAATGACAAACTAAATTAATTTGATTTACAAATATATGTAACTAGTAGGCCACGCGAGTTATCTTGGTCAAAGGGTCAGTCACTTCATTAAATTTGACTGTTATCATTAAAATTTTAAAATAAGCAACGTACACTTAATTATTTTTTAAGTCAGTGTTTGTAATGGCCATTTTGGGATGTTCAATGGACACAACGATAAAAGAAAAGTATCATGGCTAACTCGCATAGCTAAATTTACCTTCAACGTTGCGTGTTCCAAAGATTTTAATTCATTCATTTTTCGTTCGTTTATGATATTATACTTTTATTTTGTCCTCTTGAATACAGTCACAAAGTTTTGGATTACAAGGAGCGTCGTGAGAACCTGAGAAATGAAAACAAAACTCAGCTGATTGATCAATGGATTACAATGCAAAACATACGTAGCTATGAATTTCAGCAAAAAATACGAATATCAGCAAAAATTTAGACAAAATAAATATCCACGTGCTTGAATTGATTACAGTGTTATTTAATCACATTATCAATAACTATAATTTCACAACAATATGTCTAAAAAATATACTAAACCTTTTTGACGAACACGTATTTGTAAATGATAGAGACAAAACGTAAACGTAGTGGTTACATACTCTTTGGATAGAGACAAGTAGGTACAAAATGCCACAATGCCAGAAAGAAACATTTGTTTGTCTTTGTGCTAGAGTAGGACAAAACTACTTGTTTTGAAACTAAATTTATTATAAGGTTTCCTTTTAGTTAAGCTTTTTTACTACTCTTATGACTCTCTTATTATCATAATTATTAATTGAATTGTATAAAGTTAGGAAAAAATCGTATTATTTCTATTTTAGTTGTTTACATTTTTTTATTTTAGTAATCATTAGTTTTACGCTTTGTATTGTTTAAGTATTCGAACAGATTTTACTACAGACTATAAAAAATAAACCATCGAGTAAAACGTTTGTACTCATCTTCTAAAAATCTTATTCTTAAATTAATTACCAATGATAATAGGGCATTTTCAAGAAAATGATAATAATACGACATCCTTGGTGCTGCTAAATAATTTATTACTATTTTTAGACAGCTTAACTAATATTTTTTTTAAATTGCAGATTATTTTTACATAAATGTATGTAAGATTATTATTTTAATCTTAGCAAAATAGTTGAATAAACAATGAACTGTTTTGAATACTTTACACTAAATTGATTGTTTTTTTTTCTGATGGCTAAAACCATAGACAAGATTTACTTTAGTCCATGCGTTTTCGGCGCGTCAGCGCGTCACTTTCATTACGCAAATCCGCCATTTTGTATGTAGCTGGCGGTGCTTCACGGTATACTTTCTCGGTTCAGTGATTAGATCCACGAAAAACTGGGAAACTTAGTTCAAATTGACTTTGTAAACTGACTGTGAATATAACTAACAATTTTGTGAAATAATATAACTTTAACTTCTTGTGCTTTCGTGATTTGTGTGTGTCCTATAATTGGAGCGCGTGGCTGGTGACTCTTTGTTGTTGGAATCGGCTTATTTACGGTGAGTTTCTTGATATTTACTAATAACAAAGTAGTTTCAGTGAGTTACAAGTGCTTTAAGAAGGTATTAGTGGTATTAAATGCAACGTGAGAGCGTTATTATCAAGAATGTGTTAGCGTCATTGATGCGGTTCTAGCGGCGCGGTGATTGCTTTGCTGTGGCGGTGGCTGGCGGCCGACGACATTATTCTCGCGGCGACGCCGACGCGTCACCTCTAGATCGCGTGAGAAAACGTGTTACTGGTGAATTGGTTTTTCTAGAAATCTCCATTGGCTAATCCTAAATTAGGCGAAAATAGTATTTGACTGAAGTTTTCAAGTTTTTGAAAAGTTCCCAACATGTGCTCATAACGGTTATGACCCTAATTCTGTAAAATTGTGGGAGGTGCGTTCAAATGAGTTAACCAATCTAAATATTCAACGTGTATTTATGGATTTGTGATAACGGCGGCATTATCAGGTGAGAATACTGAGACAATCTTTGAAATAGCGCCTAGTATTAAAAAGTAATAAATTCAACTGGCCACCAAATTACGACACCGGTTTCTACATTTATAAATGAAGAATAATAAATAATTTAACACAAAACACATTGTAACATGTAAATACGTAATTTATTTTCATTATCTTTGAATAAAAATGCCGGAGAACTTCTCCACTGATACAAAAAGTGATATTGATGACCTGTCTATAGATAAAATTGTACAACGATAAGAAATATACTCTTATCAAGTTATACTCAATGAAGTTGCAATTATTTTGTCAGTTAATGTACCTAATTACTTCTTATTTGTATTTTAAGATAAGGTTTTTTATTATTACGCAGACGCAACTACGTTAATTACTTGGTAATCGTAATAAAACAATTGCGTTTTGACCTCTTAAATAAATCTTCAAAATAGATTTTGGTAATTATGAGATTATCACGTTAAGTAGGTACTTATATAGTAAATTACCACCAAAACAAGATTCAGGTAGATTTTTACCCGACTACGATAAAGCAAAAGGAGGGTTATGATTTTGTCTCTTTTAAACATGGAATTACTGAGTGAAAATTTGATATCAATATTTCTTGTTAGTTTAACAATCAGTATTGCAAAAAAATACCACGCGTATATTTGTGTCCTTATTATTTCGGCAATGATAAATGTAACTCGGAAATCGTTAGTTTTTCTACTATGCGGCGTATATGCCTATATATATAAATACCTACTCAGAAACTAGTGAGTCATGCAAGTCCATGCTTACTCGATAATATAGTTGCTCTTCGGCATAAAAGTATCCTTAAAAATGTGTTACTTACGTTAACACACAACAAAACAATATAAAATTTTTGTAAAAACAAACAGTAAAGTATTTGATCAAGTTTCCTATTAAGTACGCACTCACGATTAAAAGAGTAAATTGTGTATTATTAACTAATACAATAGGTCGCTGGTTTTACCATTATAACCACACGACATTGTTCAAACCCCTAACAAAAAATGAAATCAGTACCAAACTCTACCCACACAAAACAGTTTCTAACCAAAAGTTTGTTAGGTGAAAAGTTTCAATGGATTTCATTAGAAACTTTCCACCTTTTATTATTTACCTATTTAGCTTTTTCATTTGTTCGGTTTTGCTCTTGTTTGAATTCTTTGCAACTTTTCATAATTTGTTTGTAGTCTTTTTTTTAATAAAAGTAGGTACGCCGAATTGTAGCTGGAGTTTGTTTCATAAGATCGAGTTTTCATATATTTGGACGAAGTTTTTCGTCGATTTATTGCTATTTCGTTTTCAGTAAAAAGTTTTATTGCTGTTTCCAATAAATGTTTGGCTTTGCCGACGGCGGCTGACGTAAACGTTCGTCAGTAATCTTCAAAACTTATCTTTATGTCGTAGTATTTCTTATAGTCAAAAACAACAAATATGCAAATAGCCTCTTCCTTACATTTTCATGATAACGTTATGTTTTCTCAGCATATCAAACTCCGTCTATTTCGATTTCGAAGTTCGGAAACTTCACCAGTCATAGTTTCCCTGTTAATATTAATAGGCAGCAGTAGCACGGTCATCTAATCGCAATGCAATCCAGAATAAACTTATCGCGCTCCTAGCGACGAATTTCCAAAAATGACACATCTATATTCGACCCGACCACTCGTATACCTAAATGAATAATGTGTGCCGTCTAGAACGTTGGCTCTGGTTACCCATACATATTCACGTACATAACGCTCTTAGCAACGAAATTTATGTACTTTGTACGAGACACGCAATTCGAAATAAAAGCAGTATTTCTCAAACTCATCCGAATCCTTATAAGTCTACTGTACGGCCTTATAAAGAGCGCGATGAAATTCATGCAAAAGAATGACACGCAAATTAAGATAGGTACGTACATAGATATTCTGTTATGTGCGGTTGTTGAACTACACGTAAGCATAATGTCGTTAGTTTGAACCGACCGACGCGTCTAGCGAGGTACTTAGATATCGCACAGCAACATATAGCTAGTTGTACACTTGTATATGCCGTGGCGTAAACAAAGAGGACGTGTAGTGTAGCGCATCGGTTCGCCTCGACCTATCTTTACACGCTATGTCAAGAAGTAACTAGGTATAGTCTAGTCTTATATCCAACTAGCTAGTGCAGATAACGATAGAGTAACTTCGCTTGGCTTGCCTTCGAGACTAGGGTTGGCAATTGTTGTACTTACATGAAATGTCTTTTATAGTGGAACCTATGTTGTATTCTCTTGTATACGCAATTAAATAATTTACTTATGATATTTGAAACTAGATTAATGATGAATGACAAATTCATCATAAAATCTTCCCTAATTGCTCGGAACATTCCATTTTAGATAACACCGTAATGACGTCTACAATCTATATTGTAACGCTCACATCACACGCTCTTTCGCGCGTGCCCATCCTACCGTTACTCTAGACTTTTCCCACTCATTTTTCAACGTCCGTATATTATAAATCGTTTATATGACATCCATGGAGCTCGCTTAGATACTTCTCGGTAAATAGACGGACGGACAGACCACATCCGTTAGTGCCGGTGTGATCGTGCACGTGTGTGTACGGTTCACACACATACGAGCCGCTCGACCGGCCTGGCGGGTTGTCGATCGGCAATCGATTGCGCGTTCCTTTTAAATACTCGCCTACAATCATCGCCACGATTTTATTTAGCTTTGTTTTCTCGCTCGAGGCCGTGGAAAGGTGTCTTCGTCGTATAACGTGTTTTTATTATTCCCATGTTCGTCTTTATATTGCGATTGGTAACTTTTATGTTATCGATATCTCTTTTCGATTTTTTTAAATCGTCAATAAGCCCACCTTTATGTTATCAGAGTACACGTAATTTTATTAGATAATAACTGGCATTAGCTAGTCTTTAATAAACATAAGAACATTAAGAACTAGTGGAAACCAGACAAGCTTTTCTGATAATTCTTTCCTGTTACTAGTTGAAGTGATGTCTATTCTCTTGTATTGATTATTCGAGTTTGTTTAAGCATGCTAATCAGCATGACGTACAGTATGCTCTGACATTCGCACAAGAAAAACTTTGTATTTTACACGTAACTCGTATTTCATTCACGTATGCTTTACTATCAGCTCGAACGTGCCTTCCCTCTTTTTAAAACGAGCCGCTCGACAACACAAGTCACTACAATGTGTCCCTAGGGTAGATAAATCAATTTAATTTCCCTAAAAATGTACTAACGGGTGAGGCAAACTGACACACTTATACTGCGTATTGTTATATCCCCCCTTTATCAAATACGAGGGTTTCTATACAACGTATCAAATATCCCTCCAACTAAAACCACACTACGTACTTTCACCGTTACTTAATACATTTTCCTCTTTCCACTATCAAGTTTTAAACTAGATACTGTACTATATTAAAGGCAGTAAGTACCAGTAGTGAGCGTGTTATTAACTACAATAAAACTTTCCCTAACGACCTAACTTGATTGATTAGCATCGTGTATTTAAACTAACCTGTTTCCGTATTTAGCGGTAATGGTGTCGGTATACCCACATTATAACAAAATTGACTTGAAAAATGTATCACTATATCCTAAAGTCGGGGAGCTCGTCAACTCAGTAATGTATGCGCATAATTATACACATGAAACTTGTAATTTTTTACAAA